CGCCCACCTCTCCGTGTTTTGGCTGAAATGGGTTCCAACGCGGTTGCAGTCCGGTGCCTACTTTCCGCGCATCAGTGCCTAATACTCAGGGGAAAAAGCGAGAGTACACTTTATAGCCAAACGGGTGGACCTTGAGACCACAATGTTCAGTGAAATAAATCGGATACACGTTTCCCTGGTGTGAGAAAGTGAAAGTGGAAATAAGAACTGAAATATAATAGATACTGGGAAATGAGAAGAAAGAGTTTAAATGGGAAAGGGAACAAGGGAGGAGGAGGGGAACAAGGAAGGAAAGGATAAGGGAAAAAGTGAAAATAGAGGGAAAAATGTAAAGAAAGCTTTGGTGCATAGGGAGGGGAGGGCCTTACGGGGAGAGGGACTGGGAAGAGGCGGGATGTACCCTGTACGGCTGCAGATTCCCTACGGTGCATGCCGGAAATGTGCCAATACCTGCTTTGAAAAAAAAAAAAAGTGAGAGTCCAAACGGTGTTGAGGGCACGCCTGTAATCCCCGCCTGAGGCTGAGGCAGGAGGATCTCTAGTTCTAGACCAGGCTGGGCAGTTTAGCGATCTAGCGAGATCCAAAACAAAATAAAGAAGGGCCGGGAAGAACTCAGTGTAAAGGCCCTGGGTTGATTCCCAGTGCGTGCGTGTGTGTGTGTGTGTGTGTGTGTGTGTGTGTGACTCCATAGTGCGTTACTTGCTCGGATCTCCGGGGTATCCCGCCGCGTAGGAGGCGCCGACCCCAACGTTTCGGTTCCTACGATCCGTTGCCGGAGAGTCCGAGAACGGAAAAGAAAGGCGGGTCTGGCACAGCCGGAGGCAGGTGGGGTGGGCGGTCTGGGTCTCGGACCCCGAGTCAGGCCCCGGCCGCGAAACCCTGAGGCGCTCCCCTAGGAGGGCGGGTAAGGGGACCTGGTCAGAAGAAATCGTTTAATCGGAACCGAAAGGCTCAGGGCCCCCAGGCAGGCGACAGCTTCGGGCTCCGACCGCGCTTTCCCGGCCTGCGCCAGCCGGTGTGCAGCCCGCCGGCTCCTGGGTCCAGGGACCTGTAGCAGCAGCGCCACCTCGTGGCAAAGAGAGAAACCGCAGCCCGGGAGACTGCCCGCAGCAGCGGGGTTCAAGGGGCGCCGGTTCTGGGGCAGTTCGAAAGGAGGCAGCTCTCTTAGAGAACAGCACAGCTTCGCTGCAAACTCGACCTGGCCACATTCTGAGTTTGAGAGTGTCATGCGATCAAAAATGCTCCCTGACCCCCAGTTTTCATTTCATTTTTGGCTTTGAAGAAATGCAAGGACAGGACCAGGTATTCTAGGCAAGGAGGCAAGTGAGCCAGCCAGTTACCGATGGGGCCTCAGAGAAGCTGTTTCCAGGTTCTCGGTGCCCATGCAAAGAACCGAGCAGGACACTCAGCAAGCAAGAGCAAAACTTACCAAAAAGGAGGAGCGAGAGTAAGGGAAGGAAGTGAAGTCGGGAGGAGAGCTCGCCGCCTGCGCAGGGTCCGCGGTTACTGTTCCATGATCGCCCAGCAAGACGAGAGATGGATCTGACACGTAGAATGTATTAATTAGTACAAGAGTCTCTTTCCTCAATCAGATCTTGGTCCCGTACGCTAGGATTAAAGAAGGTTTCTGAGCCTTTAGTTCCATTTATCACATATGCTAGAAGAATTTGCCTCTAATATTAAGTATGACAGAAAAAGGTCCATTTGTGTGCTAACAAATTAAACGTTTGCAAGCGGATAGCGAGGGAGGTGGATTGTGGAATCCCGTTAGAATGGAGGAAGACCAGCAGAGCACCTTGGCAGCGGAGGACACAGGAAGAGAGGAGGAGAATGAACCCGGGGAGCCCTCCACAGGCGCGGTTGGGCTTAGAGTCTCTTTCCTAGGGTTTGGGCGTCATTCACAGGCTCCCAGCAGTGATCTCAACAGTCAGTGCCTAGGAAATATGGGGACAGCAGGACCCTGGGGCAGGAGGAGAGGGCGGGGAGGATGGGATGGGCACAGGCAGCCAGGATAAGGCCAGGCCAGAGAGGGGCCAGGCAAGCTACTCGCACCTCTTTAAAGACCGTCTTTGCTCTGTTCTGCTACTTTTAGAAAAGTTGCCATTAACGGCACTTGCAGAATGCAACAGCCCCTAAGGCCCACTTCCAAGCTGGCCCTTTCTGACTGTAAGCCAGTAGTGGCTGAGATGCAGTCTTTTTTGTGTATAAAAACTAGACCAAGAGTTCCCATGGCGGCCCCCTTGGGCCCCCTTCCCTGGTACAATAACTCGGAAGCTTTTTGTTTTTTGTTTTCACCCAACGATAAATACTGTTGCTCAGTTCTCTTGTGACTCTGCCTCATGATTCATTCTGAGGTGAGAGAACCTGCCCGCCGGATGAGAACAATGGTCTCAGGGCTAACAACTGGAAAATTGTAGACATAATTGAAACAGAAAAAAGACAACTCCTGAAGCTTCGGATTAGTAGTCATTCATTTAAAACATGTTTACTGAGCTTGTGTCAGTCACTACTGGCAGCACAGAACCCTCACTGCCTAGCAAAACAGACCCTGGTCCCCTGGGCTCCTGCCCACCTGGAATCATGGGTTTAGATTACTGGTGCTGAAGGGAACAGACGGAATTAGGAGTTAGTGCAAAGAATACCTGCAAAATAAACTGCAGTACCAGCTGAGGTGGTACATTCTCACACTCTCAAATACTCAGGGGGCTGAGGTGGGAGGGTTAGAAGTGCAAGGCCAGTCTGGGAAACTCAGGAAGACCTGTGTTCTTGGAAGTGTTGCTGGATTGGGAAACTCTCAGTAAATGCTAAAAGCATAGAAATCTGGCTATGAACTTTGGGTGACAAATGAGTTGTCAACGTGGTTTATCCATTTTAACAACTGTACCACTCTGAGGAGGGAGATGGTGACAACGGGGGGAATTGTGGTGTGTGTGTGTGTGTGTGTGTGTGTGTGTGTGTGTAGCTATTTAGGAAAATCTCTTTACTTTCCTCCAAGTTTTGCTGTGTACCTAAAATTGTTACTGGATTTTGGGGTGCTGGAGTCTCCTTTTGGAGGTGATTTCTAGGTTCTTTCTGTCCTGAGCAAAGAACTGGTTGAGACAAGAGCAAACAGGCAGAAAAGCCTTATTAAAGACAGGAAAAGAAACAGGCTCTGCTGAGTGAGTATGGGCCAAGTAAAAGTGAGGAACAAAGCACACCCCACAGCATGAAGGTGGGCACCACGCCAGAGCAGATGCAGCGGCAGACAGTCCTCTGTCTGTGTCTCCGGCTCCCCAGGCTGACACCAGGCCTAGGCTGTCCTATGGAAAACCTGTTTGAGTTTTTGAGAAGTGCCCAGGAGCGGGGCTTCAGGACCGATTCTGTGCTTGTGTCTGGGGATTCTGTAATTAGCAGGTCACACTCACTTCCCCAGCCAGTTTTGTCAAGTCCTAATCTCCTGTCTCAAGACTGCTGCAAAGAAATAGTCATTACCGTTATTGTTATTTAACAGAAAGGTGGGAGAACTGCGCTACTGACCCAAACTCAGGAGAGAAGGTGGGGATGAGCCCTGCGGGTGGAGACCGGAAAGTCTCCTGGGGTATGTGGGTCGGCTCTGAAATTCCAGCCACCCCCACCAGTGAGCAGCAGAGCCTTACATACCTCTATCCGGGACCCCTTCTGAGAATAGTGTATCGAAGTCACGGAGTAGCCAGACTCAAGATGAGCCTCACGTGTTAAGGATCTGCACAGGGTAATGAACACTGTGCTTCTGTAGAAGTTGAAGTCAGATTATTTGTACTTTGTGCTTATGGTGGAGGAAAGATCTCAAGTGCCTAATGAAAAACTGAGGTGGCAACAAAAAGCAGGGCTTCAGAACGGCACACACTGTCCGGTCTTGGGATAACTCCGTGTGGACCCTTGTGGTCCACGGGTGTTGGCTTGGCAAGGCCAGGGTGTGGCTCGAGGGGCAGTAGGGAGGACCCCAGGTCAGATTGGGGCGGTGAAGTCTCTCTTGCCGCTGGGCCTTGCACAGCACCCTCCCCAGCTCTTCCTGGGGTTTCCAGCCTTGGGGACCCAACCTTCTCCCATGCCCTTGCAGATGCCCACAATCTGGCCCTGCTCCAGTGCCCAAGGACACGAGGCACCTTAGCCCCTCTCCTGGAAATCACCTCCCACTGCAAAGTGGGAATGGAGAGTACAGCTAAGCGCTAAGGAGGAAAGCTAGGAACTAGCATGGCCCTGGGGTCCAAGCTGGTGACTGGCCATGGAGGCCATGCTCAGGGTCAGCGACCTCTCATCTCTGCCTGGCGCCAGTGATTCACCCTGACACTCTTTCCTCCTCAGCCACCTCAGCCCCGTGGGTCCCCAGGCAAGTCCCGCGGGTCCTAGC